TCAGAAGACGCAGACACAAGCCCTTGCCCTTTCGTGACCGACCCCGACGACAGATGACGATTGCACTTCACCCCCACCCTTCAGTGACAGTCGCTCGCTTCGTTCAAGTAGCAGCAGTTATCACTCTTCTGATCAACGCCCGCAACCTAACTTAATAACCCCTTCTCCCCCTCCCTCTATCCTTCCCTTCCCCAACACACGAAACTGTACACGCCGACCTCGCGATGCGAGCGACGTGTAAGCGATTAATTGTAATCAAACTACCCTTATAAACCCTGCCCAACTGTACAGTTTTTATTACCCCTGCAAACGTTTTGGCTTGAAGAAGATTTGCTGAAAACATATGGTTGCCAACTTGACTTCTAAACTTAAGAATGGGAATATTTGCGGAAATATAGGAGAAACTAGAATTGCCACTTCTGATCCAACGGCTGTCGTCGTACAGTCATACCCAGCCCATGTTTATGGCATAGGATTCGAACACACTTTTTTCATTTATTGAGGGCTCTTAAGTCCATCGTCTTAATACATAATCATTGACCCACTAGTTTGTCGGTTGCGATCCAGAAAGCATGGACGTTCGCCACACACTATACAGAAAATGCTTGTCCCTTTAGGTTTTAAGGCTTATCCGTGCAGCCCACAAACGACACGTCCTCGTTAAAGGACGTACATCTATCGCTAACAGAATTCACTTGTCTCCTTCTGACATGGGGCTAATTCTCGAGGTCCGTTAGCAGTCGCGTAGTGGATAATAATCTAAGATATGACTGGCTGACGACGGTTAATGAACCAGAAATGGCCATTTCAGTCTCCCTTGTCTTTGCCGAGCAGACTATCTGCTTAAATGACAAGTAATTAAACAGAACGAGGAGTGCCGACTATGACAAAAGGAGCAAACGACAACTATTTGTGGCCTTTTTAGCCGTCGTCAATAGCAACATACGAGGACATTAGTGACGGCTATGCCAACTCTGCAAAAATAGGATTTGTAAACAAAATCAACGCAAGAGAAATTCTAGTTACTGATTGCTTTCAGGTGATGCTTGCACTTCGAATTGGTAACCTTTGAATGGCAAGGTTTCAAAGCTTGTGTAAGCCGAGAGAAATCGCATCTCTTGTCATTGAAAATAGTCCTACTTTGCAGGGCCTTTGAACTGGCAACGCTGTTCTCTGCTAATATTTAGTTGGAACTGCTGGTAAGCTCATTCGTTATTAAATCGCCTCCCTAATCAAGCTCAACTAAGGAAACTAAACTGAAAACATTTCTGAGATCCAAAATACTGTAGAAAATATAAGAGAAATCAATTTTCATCCCATAATCAGATACATGAAGATTAGTCAAGCCGGCTCATCAACTTTTCACATGCCCCTACCAAATCCTGTTATGCTTAATAGTGAACGTTTTAATTTTGAAAATAAAATCATTAATGGCTGCGGGAACACAAAGCATAGCCGAAGATACAAAAGTATAGATTTTAAACAAAGTGCACTTAAAATGAGTTTTCCTTTTTTGTCCTATATCCAGGCTTAACTCTACAGATCGAGAGACATCGTTGGTAATTGCATTATGAAAACAGACTTAACTGAGATTTAAAGACGCTCCAGACGGGGACTACGTATAACTTAACCTCATTTCGATGTGACTTAATAATTCTGCCTGATTTATAAAAAAAAGATAACAAACAGATTTTAGGAGGCACGCCAGCATCGATTTTTAAACCAATCTTCAAAGACATGAAGGTAATTCGCGCCAAACGCCTACAGTTTTTCACACTTGGGTCAACTCAAATTAAGCAAATCTCCTTGGAGTTTTTCACACTTGGGTCAACTCAAATTAAGCAAATCTGCCAAACCAACTTAATAACTATTCTCATTCCTTTATCAAACTCTATTACGATTAAACGGGAGGAAAGTACCTTTGAAGTTCCACTAGTGAACGTTTTATTTTTGAAAAACATGGATGAAAAACCGCTACTGATTACGAGAACACAAAGAAGAGCCGAAGATAAAAACAAAATGGACTTCAACTGAAATTTTTCTCGTGCAGAGATTCATCCTATATCCATGCTTAACTCCAAATGTCGAGAGATATCGTCGGCGTTTGCCTTAGAAAGGTAGTTTTAAGTGAAATTAAAAGAAGCTCATATCGGACAATAAGAATAGCTTAACAGTTATTTGCTGCGAAGTAAGCATTCTGAATAATCATTAAAAAAACGACAACAGGAAAATATTATGAAGTATTTCATTTCAAGCATCTATCGTCATATCATTTACCGCAGGTGTTGGGAAATATTTTTAAAATCCGTCTGAATTTTTAAAAGTACGAAACCAACCCAACGCTTGTCAAATTTTCATCCCGCAGCATATTTTTCGATTTGCTCAATTACCATCACTGCCAGTATCGCAAAAAAACAACAAAATTACAAAGCGGCTTGGCTGCCTATAAACCTAGAATGACTGAGTGGAGTCGATTTTTGAAAGTAAGTTTGCAGTTCGGTGATAAGGCATTGTGGTGTTAATTAAAACTAGAATAAGCAGAACGCATAGGCAGCTCCGGTTGCGTCTCCTGGTAGATAGGTGCACAACCAGGTGATCGGGAGAGCTCCTGAATCGGCCGTTGCCGCCGCCATCAACCAGCTAGCCGGCCCCAAGCCAAATTCGCACCCTGGGAACCTAAAAGTTGAACTTACAGTAGCCACCGAAGGCCATGCAACGCCA